TTTATATACAAACCAAACAGACCACATCTAGCCATAAAATAAGAAATAACATTTGTACAATATTTGGTCAAAATGTGGCTGTGAATGTGGGAGATAGTAATGAATAGATAGGGTATAATTTAAGAATGGTAAAAGGTATAATAATAATGGTTTATAGGTTAAAATAAAGCTTATGACAAGAGGGATATGAATATGCAGATAGTTTAGTTATTTAAAAATTATACAATAAAAATATACGCATAGTATTAGTCCATAAATGAATCCGAAATGTTACCATTCATTATGCTTATTAGGACATAACAACAATAAAATATCAAGTTTCATGTTATCTCTTTATAGAAAAAAAATCAATGGAAATGGTTTCAATTTTATATCTTGAGAACATAGGTGTAAATGTACACTTCATAGAAGTTATATATATTTAAAAGACATTTACAGATGAAATCGATGATTGAAAAAGTTACCAATAATATTACATTCCTAATTTTGACAATGAACTGTAACTTTCCCGTTAAGATTTATGTTATACAACATCTTTAATAACACTGATATAAACAGACATCATCAATATATGACTTGGTATAAATGGGTATTGACCTAAGTTACTATATCGGATTAGTACAATCAGTTAAAAATAACAAAACATATCGAAATAAATATAGTAGTAATGATAAAAAGAAAGATTGAACCTTGAGATGGATAGTGGCTAGCAGTGGAATCCAGGACGCGCGTTTCATCTTATTTCGGGCTCGTCAGCTGGATGTACCTGCATCTCAGAGAGCCTTCAAATGCTCTGGTATGGCCGAGAGTGGGGAGAGTCCGCTCTCCCTCCCAAAATGCTCCCACGTGGCCACGCGTATACAGCCTCTGCCAGGGAAGTCCTACTCACTGCCATCTCGCACCACAGGTGTTGTTTACGAAAATGAGAGGACGAAAAGCGAATGTCCGGCGCTTTAACCGGATCCCAAACCAATGGTGCACATGGGCTCCAGTATCCTGAAGGAACAAATGTCGTATGAACCAATTGTTGGTCACCGGCTACCATGGGACTGCATCTCCTCACGATGCTTCACTGCCTTGTGGACTAGACCCTTAGGTCAAAGGCTCGGGGGGTGGCCCCCTAAGAAAACCACCTGCTTCGGTTTGGGCACCCGGGCAGTATCTCAGCCCACGCACTAAAACCATGATGAACTATTTGCTTATGGAAAATATTCCTTTCTATCTGATTAACATTGAAATAACTCGTACTATTATTATTATTACTATTATTATTATTATTATTATTATTACTCTACCAAGTCATTTATTCACCCTCTCTTATTCCTACTATATGTATCCGTATCGACCTAGACAGCAGCTCATCTATGGTGAAAATTTAGCTTTATCTAAACGTTCTCGAGTCACTGCCTGGTTGAAAATTGTATGTTACCACCGAATATGAGTACTAAAGCAGTTTTTCTGAAACCACGTACACCATTCAAACTGGCTTCCTTCAACGTTCGCACACTTATGCAGGTCGGACAACAGATAGGGCTGGCTATGTCTTTGGAAAGTCTTAATATTGATGTGTGTTGTCTATCCGAGACCCGTATTCAAGACTCTGGTGAAGTACTACAAGTTCGCTCTCCATCTGTCACTTCAAAAAGCTTGTTTTATGTGCGTTTATCCGGGGACCCTGTGGCATCTTCGTCTGGTCTTGCTGGCGTTGGTGTCGCACTAAGCGCAAGAGCTGAGGCAGCACTAGTCGACTGGATCCCCATTAACAGTCGGTTATGTGCTGTTAGATTAGAAAGTTCCATCAAAGTGAGAAGAAATCGGCGTGAGAAACGATGTCTTTTCGTCATCTCCGCCTATGCCCCGACAGATTGCAGCCCGGATGCAATCAAGGACGAGTTCTACCATCAGCTAACTGTTCTTCTCCAGAAAGTGAGTTCAACAGATATTGTAGTACTAGCTGGTCGGGCGTCTAGGCACAGAAAAGAGTCGCTTAGGTGGCCGATGGGGACTCGTTGGTCGCAAGACAGATAACGGGGAACGTCTACTGCAACGATGCACAGACCACAACCTGTTTCTGGCTAGCACTAACTTTCGGCACAGTCATCGCCGATGTGCCACCTGGCGTCCCCCTTCTGTATCTCAAGCCTGGACTCAGATTGATCACATCGCGATCAGCTACCGCTGGCGTGGTTGTGTACAAGACTGCCGCTCCTTTTGGAGTACCTATCTGGAATCTGACCATGCTCTGGTCTGCGCTAATCTTACCTTACTTTTCAGTGGACAACGAAGTGACCGCCACCAAAGGATTGATGTTAGCAAGCTGGCTGCAACTTCTGTTGCTAGTAAGTACCGAACCGAGCTAGCTTCTAGGCTAGCTACCATTCCACCGAAAAGTATAGATGAGCATTGGTTGCAATTGCATGACGCCATGAAAATGGCGGGTCAAGTCTGTTGTGGGTTCGCGAAAGGTCCCGCTTACAAGCACGGGGTTTCTTCTGGTTCCTTACAACTGATTGAAGCCCGTCGGTCTACTCCGGGTGACCGTGAGTTTGACCACAGACGAAGGATGTTACGTAATGAAATCGGGCAAAGCTTGCGTAAGGACCGTGAAGCCTGGTGGTCGGAGCGTGCTAATGAGTTGGAAGCAGCAGCTGCATCTGGTAATTAACGGAAGCTCTTCCAACTCATCCGAGCCACTGGCAGCAAGAAGTCTGGTGTGAGCGAAACAATCTGCGAGGATGACGGAACGCCAATCACTAACATCCATCGACGTCTTGGACGATGGGCAGAATTCTTTGAAGGGCAGTTCAACTGGCCTGCTGCTCCGGCAACATCGGTCAGACTGCCCTGCCCTCCATGGCCGGTGACGACTGATCCACCAAATGAGGCGGAAGTCCGCAAGGAACTCTAACTCTTGAAACGTTACAAATCACCGGGCCCAGACGACTTACCCCCGGCTCTTTTTAAAGATGGTGGTGACTTTCTGACTAAGGGACTGACGACGTTGTTTACAAAGGTCTGGGAACTAGAGTGTGTAACAACGTCGTGGAATGAGTCGATAGTTGTCCCTATCTTTAAAAAGGGTTCACGTTGTTCCTGTAACAACTATCGGGGGATAAGTCTACTTCCGATTGCGTCCAAGCTATTGGCTTCCGTCATACTTCGTAGGTTATTCAAAACCCCAGAAGGATTGACTCGCGAGGAGCAGGCTAAGTTTCGTTCTGGTCGAGGATGTATTGATCATATCTTCACCCTCCGCCAAATGTTAGAACACCGTCATACTTATCAAAGGCCAACAATCGTAGTGTTTCTTGATATCAGGGCTGCCTTCGATTCGTTGGACAGAACTGTTCTCTGGGATAGTCTATTGAAGAAGGATATGCCTGAGAAGTTTATTAACATCCTTAAAGCCCTATACACAAACACCTCAGGCAGAGTGAGGGCATACAACCACCTTTCTCCATTATTCCATTCAAGCAGTGGAGTTAGGCAGGGTTGCTCGATCTCACCATTCCTCTTCAACTTTGCCATTGATGACATTCTGGAAACAGCTCTGATGGATGTAAGTAATGGTGGTGTGGATCTGTTGCCTGGAGAAAGACTTCTCGACCTTGAGTATGCGGATGATATTGTCTTACTGTGCGAGAATGCCCAAGCCATGCAATCCGCACTTAATCAGTTGGCAATCAATGTCCGTAGGTATGGCATGTGCTTCGCACCTTCAAAGTGCAAAGTACTCCTACAAGACTGGCAGGATTCTAATCCTGTACTCACTCTGGATGGTGAGCAGATAGAAGTGGTCGAGAAGTTCGTGTATCTAGGTAGCTGCATAAGTGCTGGTGGTGGTGTGAGTGATGAGATCAATGAACGTATAGTGAAAGCCAGAGTGGCTTATACCAATCTGTGCCATCTTTGGCGCCTTCGTGATGTTAGTTTGGCTGTAAAAGGTCGGATCTACAACGCGACGGTGAGAGCAGTTTTGCTCTATGCTTGTGAAACCTGGCCTCTCCGAGTTGAGGATGTTAGACGACTCTCTGTGTTCGATCATCGTTGTCTCCGAAGGATTGCTGGCATCCAGTGGCAACACTATATCAGTAATGCAGAGGTCCGGCATCGTGTGTTCGGTCTCAGAGACGATAATGAAATTGGTGTCACCATCTCGAAACACCGACTTCGGTGGCTTGGACATGTTCTACGAATGTCGTCCCAGAGAATTCCTCGTCGTGCATTATTTGCCGAGAGGCGGTCAGTATATGACATGGTGTCGTGGTATGAAAGAAAGCTGCAAAGGCTAACTTCTGTTGGTCCTTCACGACTCCCTGGCTGGGGTCCGAGAGATGGTGTAACACAGTGGCTAGAGACGTTATCAGATATGGCTGAGAATAGAAGCCAGTGGTGATCGTGCTGTAACCTTCTTTTACTTTCTTCATAAAAAGTGGTTGCTTCTTCCTTAACTGAAAGATTTCTTATGATTGTACCTTTCCGTTTTCCCCATCATTGTTCTCTCTCACTTTTTTTAATTTATAATTCACCACGTTCATTACTTTTTTTTCTTCTCTTCAAATTATCATTGTTTTGTGTGGCGCATATATATTTGGTGCCCCCCTGTACCAATATTTATGTGTTCAAATAAATCAATAAATAAATAAATCATTTAAGAGTGTCGTTGGCGGAAGACGAAACATCAAGTAGTTTGTACCATTCTATGATGCTCAGATTAAAGGTCAATAAGTATATATAAGTTGATGCCTTGATGTCTTAGTCTGCCTCGTGTCACCAATTATTTTTTCAAATTACTCTATTAATTAAGCCAACATTGGATATCAGTGTAATAAAAAGACGAAGATGATGGACTGGGTATCTGTAGCCGCTAAGTAAAAGTCTACACATTCTCTTTCAATGGAATAATTGAATAAAGGAACTAATAACTCGCACAACATCACTGAAAGCAAGATTGATCATTAAATAAAATTTATTTTACAAAAGAAATAAATCCAACTTACCAACTGCTGCATTTTTCAATCCTTTACATTTCTTCTTTTTTGGTTTACCATCTATATAGACCACTTGATATGGCTGACCATTTTGCCCGACAAAATATTGACCTTGTGGATCTTGTGGACGTGGTTGATAACCGCTATAAGTACTTGTCCCAGGCACATAAGCACCTGGTACTGGTGATCGTGCAGGGGGCACTGTTGGTGGAACATAATTATTAGTTGGGTATACATAATTGGGTTGACTAATTGGTGGAGGAGGAGGCCCATAACCGCCTACAACATTCATAGATATTAATTAGTATGGAGGTTGTAGAAATTGTTGAATGTTAGAGCGAGATCACAAACAGATGTAAGTTAAACAGCTATTGAAAAGCTAGAAGCACTCTGGACAGCTGTTTAGTCCCAATATAGGGACCCTTCACCACTCTTCATTTACGACCCTACACCACGAGATGTTCAATAATTACTTAACTCAAGTCAGTTCGTGATCTCAAAAAGAATTTGTATATTAAATTAAAAAATAATCTAGGAGAAATTCACATACCAGGATTTCCACCATAAGCAGTTGGATCAGGCACTGAAAATTGAGAGAATATGGAAGAAAACAATCACAGAAGTTTATTTCAAATTTAACTAACAGTAGTATGCAAATAAATCTATTAAAAAAATAAAAATAAATCAATAACTCGGACAGTGATTGACAAATCGTTTTCGTGGATTAGTCGAAGTTAGACATTAACACAGTTGGATGCCGGTCAGCTCAGTGGTCTAGAGGTTAAGCATTTGCGCGCAAGACCGATAGGTCCTGGGTTTGAATCTCGAGGGAGCGTGGATGCGCACTGCTGAGGAATCCCACAGTAGGACGAAACGACCGTTCAGTGCTTTCAGGTTTCCCATGGTGGTTTAGCTTTAATTTGTTCATGATCCCAACCATTAAAATTGATTTTACCTAAATCATATGCGTAAAATTTACTTACTTACGCCTGTTACTCCCAATGGAGCATAAGCCACCGACCAGCATAATTTTTCTGGTTAGGGTTTTTTTAGCGAGTTAGTTTTCTACGGGATATGGTCGCTAACTCCATGCCCAATCCTCCTCTTTCATCCGGGCTTGGGACCAGCAGTAGCCCCAGAGAGGCTCCAGGTGGAGTTTTAAATCATATGACAAGTGAGTTTTTATTGTCATACGAATTCAACTGGAGAGACTAAAATATGACAAGAAAACCCCGTATATTTTTAATCATATCCATTTGATGTGTTTAATGAAGTATCAATAATTCTTCATTATGTTTCGTACAATTTAATGCCTCAATTTCATTCTTTCTTATCTAACCAAAGCTAATCTAAAAGACAAATTTTTCAAGGAAGACTTAGTTGAACAGTTCAAAGAACATACATACATACATATTTAGCTAAATAAAACAGAGCCATCAACTAATGAGAAAGTAGTGCTACTAATTGTAAAAATAATGAAGGATAACTATTATGGGTCGTGCACAGACCAAATTGCGACACTACGGATCATCGTCAAACAATCAATTGAGTGGAATTCGTCACTGTACATCAACTTCATTGATTATGAAAAGGCATTTGACAGTGTAGATAGGAGAACGTTATGGAAGTTTCTTCGACACTACGAAGTTCCTGAGAAGATTGTCAACATTATCCGGAACTCATACGACCGACTACAGTGCAAAGTAGTGCAGATAAAGACAGCCAGTGTTTCAGCAGTCTCTGCATCAGTAGGCCTCAACATACACAAAGGGAAAACTAAAGTCCTCAAATATAACACGGGGAACAGCAATCTAATCACTCTTGATGGCAAAACTCTGGAAGATGTGGAATCCTTCACACATCTGGGAAGCATCGTCGATGAACAAGGAGGTTCAGATGCAGACGTAAAGGCGAGGATTGGCAAAGCAAGGGCCGCATTCCTTCAATTAATGAATATATGGAACTCAAAACAACGTTCAACCAATATCAAAGTCACAATCTTCAATACGAACGTCAAGGCAGTCTTATTGTACGGAGCTGAAACGTGGAGAATTACAACAACCACCATCAAGAAGGTACAAATATATATCTATAGCTGTCTACGCAAGATACTCAACATCCATTGGCCGGATACCATCAGCAACAGCCTTTTGTGGGAGAAAACAAACCAGATTTCAGATGAAGAGAAAATTAGGAAAAGACTATGGAAATGGATAGGATATACATTACACAAATCACCAAACCGCATTACGAGACAAGCGCTAACTTGGAATCCTGAAGGGAAGCGGAAAAGAGGAAGGCCAAAGAACACATTACGTCAGGAAATAGAAGCGGATATGAAAAGGATGAATAACAACTGGGAAGAGTTGGAAAGGATCGCCCAGGACAGGGTTGGATGGAGAATGCTGGTGAGCGGCCTATGCTCCTTCACGAGGAGTAACAGGCGTAAGTTAGTAAGTAGTTTAAGCATTGAATATTCAAATCTTGATGATTAAGCTTTTGCAAAAACTTGACACTTTTGATGAATATGATTAATAAATGAATTTCATTCTGTTAAAAAATTCCTTATAATACAGTTCATATATGATTTTAAATATACAACTGATCAAATCAAAAATATTTTATCTTTGTTCACATCAAAATTCTGATTGTGTATTGAACAAGATCTAAATATGAATCTACAAATGATTATTATAGAATGTTTAATGTTAATATCCCTTGATCCTATTGTTAAAAATATTTGAGAATAGAGAAACCATTGCCCCCAAATGCCCTGGTACGGCCGAGAGTGGGATGAGTCCGCTCTCCCTCTCGAAATGCTCTCACATGGCCACGCGTATATAGCCTCTACCAGGGAAGTCCTACTCACTGCCTTCTCGTGGCGGGGGTGTTGTTTACGAAAATGAGAGGACGAAAAGCGAATATCCGGCACTGGCTTTAACCGGATCCCAAACCAATGGTGCACATAGGCTCCAGTATCCTGAAGGAACAAATGGCGTATGAACCAACCGTTGGTCACTGGCTACCATGGGAGTGCATCTCCTCACGATGCTCTACTGCCTTGTGGGTCAGACGTTCAGGTCGACGAAGTCTCAGGGTGTGGCCCCCTAAGAGAACCACCTGCTCCGGTTTGGGCACCCGGGCAGTATCACAGCCCTCACACAAATCGAATGAGATCTATGTGGCGCATATGTATTTGGTACCTCCTTGTACCAATACCTATGTGTTAAAATAGAATAAAATAAGAGAAACCATTGCTAGTTGTACAATCAGTATTGTTGAAGATTGATTTAGCACTCAATATAAATCAAAATGTACTTTTGAAATACACTGATGATGATATGATTTACATTAATTAATGGTTAAATAATTTATGTACCTATTGAACCGTGTAGTACTTGATATGGATTATTCAATGATTTTCTGACTAATATAGATATTTACACTATCCTAAAATTAATTCCCTGTAAGGGAAAAATATAACGAATATAATCACCCCTCTTCAAGCTGTGACTACATGACATAGAGATGATTGAAAAAAAAAAAACAAATTAATATCATGTCAGTCACACACAAATTAATTAAGACCACGGTCACCATATCAATTACAGACTAATGAACTTTAAATACGATATAACGATTGTAGAGTGTGTTATATCTAGAAGTTTAGATTCTTAATATACCGCGTAGGATTTGAGCACCCGAACGCTATAGCCCTCCCAAGTCGCAAATGGAAGAACAGAAGACTGGAGAAAGTGTTTGTTGGGCAAAAATCAAAATATACAGAAAATCATGGGTATTTATAGATATTAGCGTGTGTTAAATCAACATTATAATTCGACCAATCTGCAAAGAGGCATTATATGCTACTGACCAATAGTAGCATGCCACTTTGATATTCTAGAAAGCTTCACTGCATTCTGATTGGATGGAATTATTCGGCTGTTCTACAGCCTGTGGAGGCTCCGTCGTAGTACTTAGAAGACATTCCAATAGAATGAAGAACAAAACATTTGTATTTGTATTTGAATTTAGTTCGTTCAGTCAAAGCCCAGCTCCTAAAGCTGTATTTTAGATATGAGGAACCAATATGACCCTGAATGAATTGTAGAATAACTTTCAAATTATTCAAAGTATACAGACACTATTAAATAGAAATTTTATCACCATTTCTAACGATCTTGAAGTGATGTAAACAGTAGAATTTTTTCTTGATTAACATATTTCTAAACATATCAACATGAAAATGAAGTTGTGTTTTATCTTTATGAAAAAAAAACATAGAAACATTATTATATTTACTTGCAAAACCGATTGATCCTGTGGGTAGAGCTGGTGCCGGTGAAGGTTGATATGGTGGAGGGGCAGATGGGAGTGCTGAAGTTTGCTGAAACTGAAACACGATTGTATTTTGTTATACAACAGATGTCAAGGTACTTTATGATATATATATATATATATATATATATAATGAAGCAGGTGATTTGTTATTCAGAAGGATATATATCTAATTAACTGGGTGGTTGTTTAGTAGTGAAGTTCTCATTGTCTTTCTAGACAGTGATCATTAATACATACTTTAAACAGGGTAAAAATATACTATAGACATGAGCTTAAAACAACTGCAATGAGATTACAGCTACTTTATAGCTAATCAAAAAACAGCTCTTATGAAAACAGATAGTTTATAGAAAAGAATTCTATTGCAAGAGTTCTCATATTGTTCCTACTTAAGGTTAGATACATAGGATAAGGATTAAAGGTTGAGGTTATCATACAAAAATTCTGCTTAGTCATATGGATAGAGAGCTTTCGCTTAAAAGTTCGACTTATGCTATATGATTAGTTCATCTATGGAATGTAGTCGCACCAGATTAAGACGTGTTTCAAGATTAACGATTTAAAATACAAAAAACACATTGGACACAAGCTGAACAACAAAGGCTAGATATGAGGGAGATGCTGCTGCTGTACTCCGATCACCAAGACGAAAATGTTCCACACACTCTGGGAGTTGCTCCGGTGCTGTCTAAACAAGCGAAAAATGCACTTATAGGATGGATCCGTAATTACCAAAGCATCTTTTAAAACAAAGAAGGAGAGAATCATAATGAATGTTATCCAGTGTTATGCACCCAACAATGATAGCAACGACGACAAGAAGGATGAGAGGCTGCAATCTATTTTAGCGAACTGTCCAAGAAAGGATCTCATCATCCTGATGGGAGATACCATTTGTTCCGTCAGGATCATGGAGCCCATGTGCATCATTGGTTTGGAATCACGATTTTTTAACTTCTCTATGTGGACTCTCCATATCCACCAGCCCGTTTAAAGCGCCGGACATTTGCTTCTCGTCCTATCAATTTCGTGAACAACACCCCCGTCGCCAGAAGGTAGTGAGTAGGACTTCCCTTATTTATTCATTATTTATTTCAGCACATAAATATTGATACAAGGGGACACCAAATATATGTGCGCCACACTTCCCTGGCAGTGGTTGTATACACGTGGCCAGGTGAAGGTATCTCGAGAGGGAGAACTGGCTCTCTCCACCCTCGGCCGTACCAGGGCATTTTGGGGCTGAATCACGCCCCCGAGTGTGATATCTAATAAAACCAGCTGATTGTCAAAACCAACTAGGTGGATGATCGGTTTCGAACCTGTGGCCGAATGGTGAACGGTTTAACTGTTGTGACTTTAAACCCGGCTAATTATCACGTGATTTATTCGTCAATCGAAATGAGACTTATAAAATCTTAGTACTGTGCCAAACCAATGACGTTCGACAGGTATGAGCAGCCTAGTGCCCTTATTGGTTCTTTGTTCTCTTAGCCCGTTCAGAACACCAATAACAGCTTCCACCAAGCGAATCATTTATTTAAACATACTTGGTTTATATACCAGCCAAACAGATCACATCACACCACAAAATAGGAAATAACATTTGTACAAGATCAAGCCAAAAAGTGGCTGTGATTGTGGAAGACTGGAATCAATAAACTGAGTATATTTTAAGAATAGTAAATCGTATCATAATGGTCTATAGGTCAAAATGAAGCTGATATTAAGACGAATATAGATGTACATAATCTAGTTACTGAATAGTTAGACAATAAGAATATATATATATATATATATATATATATATAATATTAGTTTATTAATAGATCTTAGGGTTACCTATAATTTAATCATCACCAGGATATAACATTAATCACTAAGCAACCCCTTGACTAGTTACCAAGTAAAGGTTTATATACTCGGTCTTCGTTATGTAACGGTTAATGACACAATTCAACTGTTCGAATCAAATCAGATTAAGCAAAGGGTCAGTCAATCAGTCATCATCAATGTAAGAGGTCTTAACGTGCGACCTGGTGGTTGGAAGTTGAATGCTTTACAAACATAGTACAACAGTAAAGCAACAAGGTGAAGACCAAATGAGTCAAAATGATTGGTATTAAATAGTGATAAAATACTTAGATGTTTAGCAGGAATCAATGAAATTAAAGAACTAATTAAAAGTATAGAGTAACATTCAAACTATCAACTTAGATATACTTCCTGTTTATTTAATTATTGTGCCAATGGAAACCGACATCGAGTTACGTCACCATATAAAGTTCTTAAGCACTGGATAATCAGTCAGTATCTACCAATGTCATGTTTGTCTAGTCCTAAGTGCTGCTGATCGAATTATATCGATTGAGTTACAATGTGGATATTATTGTTTAAGCGATTAAACGTCGTGTTTGCACTATGTTCAACTGTCAAGTAGTTGAAGGTTCGAACCCATCCAAGAGCACCATTCTTCTGAAAATTGCAGGTACGCTTTGTGAATATGTGATAACTAGCTCAAAACCTGATTGAAACAAGGTTTTCTGTTGATAATCTCCAGCTGACTAACATAAAAAACATAGTAATTATAAACAAATATGAAAAAGTAACAAGATTAAACTTTTAAAATACTACTCACCAATGACATTAACGCATTTGTCCATGAGCTAAAGTATGAAAAGATAACAGAATGAGTGAAATCACAATATAGATTGAAAATGTATTTGATTAAAACTGTTATAAACCGATGAGAATAACGAATGGTAACTTTTCGGATCCATTTATGAACCAATACTAAAAGTATATTTTTATCGTATAATTGTTATGTAATTAAACTATTCATATTCGTGTTCCTCTGATTAGGAGCTTTATTTTGATTTAGGAACTATCACTATACGATTTACCATTCTTGAATTATGTCCAGTTTATTAATTATAGTCTCCCTCATTTACAGCCACATTTAACTAAATCTTGTACAAATGTGTATTTTCTATTTTATGATACGATGTGGTCTGTTTGATTGGTATATAAACCCAGTATGTTTCAAATATAATGATTCATATCACAGAGACTGAGATTGGTGTTCTGGACTTAACTGGCTGGACTAGTCAGGAAGCAGGACCGATAAGTACTCTAGACTGCTCGTACGGGTTTTAAGTGTGATTGGTCCGAGAGATAATTCACTGTACTCTAATTGGCGGTGTCATCACGTTATACATCAACAGGACACAGAGCACAAGTTATAACAACAACAGCCTAAATTCAAACTCTATATACATAAAAAATTTCTGAATACTATTACTTGTGAAAAATAAAAACGCTAATGGTGTACCAGTAAAGTTTTACCCAGTAATTATAGTGTCCACGAAGCAGTAACATAGACAGTGAAATCTTAAGATAAATTTCATCCTGATTTTTTTTTAATTCATTGTAAATTTAGTAAAGAATTGAGAGCAGTTGAAAATTTCATTAAAGTCCACACAGTAGTTAAATGTTTCATCTTAGTCAAAGACTTTTCAGCAGTGTCCACTTGCGACGTCACTGTCCATCGATAATGACTACCTTACTTCCGATAAGTCGATTAAACTAGTCACGGCTTTTCACTACACATACAATCTACACATTCTCTTGGTATGTCTGGTTGGACTGTTGATGTGTGCCCCAAATGTCCTGGTACGGCTGATGGCGAGGAGAGTTAGCATCCCTCTCGAAACGCTCTCATATGACTACGGGTTTACAGCTACTACCAGGGAAGTCCTACTCACTGCCTTCTCGCGGCATTACTGTTGGTTACGAAATTGAGAGGACGAAAATCGAATGTCCGGCGCTTTACCCGGGTTGTTGGGTGAGATGGATCGACCCTGAGGAGTTGGAAATCCCTCATTCCAAACCAATGATGTATATGGGCTACAGGGTTCTGAGGGAACAAATGGTGTATGAACCTATAGTTGGTTATCGGCTACCATGGGGCTGTATCTTCTAAAATTGTTCCACTGCCTTGTGGATTAAACCTCTAGGTCAAAGGTTCGGGAAATAACTTCGTAAGAAAAGCATCTGCTTCAGTTTGGACACCTGGGCAGTATCCCAACCCTCACACAAATACAATCGCGAGGTGGGGTGCATATATTTTTGGTGCCTCCTTGTACCAATGTTTATGTGTTAAATAAAAAAATTAATTTCCTGGCATGTAATCTATTTAAATAATTCACTCCTGATAAAGATTGATTCCAAGTCAAATAGTACTTGGCTTCTGGATTTCTCGAGTGGAAAGAAATTTAACCATACTCTGAGAAGTAACCTAGATATCTACGAAGTTATAAGGTCGATTATATATGAAGTCAGTGCAATCGTAACACAATAACAACATTACTATCCAGAAACTTCATCATTACAGCCTTGAGTATGAAACACGGTTGTACAAACCTGTGTGACATACCCTTAATGTTATTAAAAATGGTTTTCAAACAAGAATAAGAATTCAACTTTCTCAATGGGTTGTCTGATAACGAATATACTGTACATTAACTAAGTGCTTATTTAAAAATCCGTATAGAATATTTAAAGACAAAGAACATTTGCTTTCAATAGCTTTATCATCAGAATCTACGGTTATAAGTCCATAATTATTATGACATTTTACAAAGGCCAAAATAAGGCACGGATCAATGAATCTGACAATGTTATATGCTAAAAATGGTGGACTTCCGCAGCTGTTACGACATAAATACTTCAAATTGGTATTATTTATAAGTTAGAAGGGTCAGAAGGATTCGTCAGTGAAGGTGTCAAGTTATAATCAGTATAAAAATAATACAATAAATCATGTGAATAAAACGCATAGTAAGAGAATTTAACCTCGTTAACGGAGGAGATAAAAAGTGCTTAATGCCAAAAAAACTCTGTGTGTTTATAGTAATTTGTCTTCCAATAGTCAAATACAGTACATAACCTCAATTAGCTAAAAATGCCCCAAATAAACACTAGTGTACTTATTTAAGTGTGGGTGGCTGTCATTTTATATATTTTATTTATTTTAACACAGATATTGGTACAGGGAGGTACCAAATACATATGCTCCACATAGATCTCATTCGATTTGTGTGAGGGCTGTGATACTGCTCGGGTGCCCAAACCGAAGCAGGTGGTTTTCTTAGGGGGCCACCCCCCGAGCCTTTGACCTGAAGATCTGATTCACAAGGCAGTGGAGCATCGTAAGGAGATGCAGTCCCATGGCAACTGGTGACCAACGATTGGTTCATACGCCGTTTGTTCCCGCAGGATACTGGAGCCAATGTGCACAATTGTTTTGGGATCCGGTTAAAGCGCCGGACATTCGCTTTTCGTCCTCTCATTTTCGTAAACAACACCCGTGGTGCGAGAAGGCAGTGAGTAGGACTTCCCTGGCAGAGGCTATATACGCGTGGCCATGTGAGAGCATTTCGAGAGGGAGAGCGGACTCTCCCCACTCTCGGCCGTACCAGGGCAGTCGTAAAGTAGAACAGAACAAACTGCTGTGCACTGTACTTGTACCTTAATTGATAGACGGATATCTCGCCTTCGACATAGGTGATGCAAGTTGGCAAAAGCCAAACGAGCTTTCTGAATCCGTGCACAGATTTCGTCAGACACCAACCCATTAGGGCTAATCAGACTTCCAAGTTATAGACGCGTTCGACTACTTCACTCCCTATCCTTAGTTCAGGTGTTGACACAGATTAGTCTTGAAACAACGAATTTAGAAGAGAAACGCATCACAAACATTCTGGCATTGTTACTCAGTGCTACCAAAAGACTCTGCATTTTATCACAGTCCTCACCAAACAGGACTATATCATCTACGTATTCTTAGCCGATAAAAGAACCTCCTGGTAAGAGATCAATGCTCGAGAATTCAGTCGACGAGAACGTTGTTTCCCGCTGTTTGTCTACAGTGGAATTGAACAGAAATGGAGATAGTGGACGGACACCATTTGGCCTGTGTGCCCTGTTAATGTATAACGTGATGACACCGCCAATTAGAGTACAGTGAATTATCTCTCGGACCAATCACACTTAAAACCCGTACGAGCAGTATAGAGTACTTATCGGTCCTGCTTCCTGACTAGTCCAGCCAGTTAAGTCCAGAACACCAATCTCAGTCTCTGTGATATGAATCATTATATTTGAAACATACTGGGTTTATATACCAATCAAACAGACCACATCGTATCATAAAATAGAAAATACACATTTGTACAAGATTTAGTTAAATGTGGCTGTAAATGAGGGAGACTATAATTAATAAACTGGACATAATTCAAGAATGGTAAATCGTATATTAATAATTCATAGGTTAAAATAATGCTTATAATAAGAGGAACGCGAATATGAATAGTTTAGTTACACAACAACTATACGATAAAAGTATGCGTATAGTATTAATCCATAAATGGATCCAAAAAGTTACCATTTATTATGCTTATCGGGACATAACACGGTTACGAAATCGGATGACAGTTTACCATAAGATTTGACCCGACTAGTAGTGTTTGAGTAAAGAGCCCTCACAAGGTCTACGTAATTCTGAGGTACACCTTGCAATGACAGACACTGCCACTGAACATCTCGGTCTACAGAGTCAAACGCTGCTTTTAAGTCAAGAAAGACCACCATTGTCGGACACCAATAAGTATGCCTGTGTTCTAGAACCTGACGAATGGTGAATATGTGATCAATGCAGTCACATCCAGGTCTGAAGCCAGCCTGGTTTTCTCATGTTTGCAGTTCACGAGTCCGATAATTATTGAGGCTAGTATTTTAGATTCTATATTAGTCAAACTAATACCTGTATGGTTATCACAGAATGATTTTGACCCCTTCTTATTTATTGAGACAATTAGTGATTGCGACCAGTCAGATGGGATTACGTCTAACTCCTAGATTTTAGCTAAAATATTAGTCAACCTAATCGCTAAAATTGGACCATCATACTTAAAGACCTCTGGAGCCAATTCATCAAGATCAACTTACTTACTTACTTACTTACGCCTGTTACTCCTAATGGAGCATAGGCCGCCGACCAGCATTCTCCAACCCACTCTGTCCTGGGCCTTCTTTTCTAGTTCCATCCAATTCTTGTTCATTTTTCTCATATCTATCTCCATTTCCCGGCGTAATGTATTCTTTGGTCTTCCTCTCTTCCTTCGACCTTGAGGATTCCATATGAGGGCTTGTCTTGTGACGCAGTTGGGTGTTTTCCTCAATGTGTGTCCTATCCACTTCCAGCGCTTCTTCCTGATTTCTTCCTCCACTGGGATCTGATTTGTTCTCTCCCACAGTAGGTTGTTGCTTATAGTGTCCGGCCAGCGGATCTGAAGTATTTTGCGTAGACAACTGTTAATAAACACCTGTATCTAGATCAACTGCGCTTCGTTATTTCAGATTAGCTATAGCCTTTTGGAATCAGTGCAATAGACTTAATAGAAATCTACTGATTTTTTGTAACCCTTTGGTCCGAATCACCAATAGATGTCGCTAATGGGTCAGCCTCGTTTTCAAAACTAAGTGTGACCTCAGTTGTTTCTGGAATTTACTTTTGGTTTTCTCGCCACTCAGTTCAATTCTAATGGGTCTTCTTAGTGTGGCTTTTCTGCGTCCAGTGAGGCGCAAGCAAATGCATGATCGGAGTTCAAACAGGTATTCCAGAACGAGCGATAGTCTTTTATCGGGCCTCTCCAACGATGACTGATGGCAATATGGTCTATTTGAGTCAATCGTTGGTTTGGTGCAGATAGTCGCCATGTTACACGGTTTCTCTCCTTATGCTTAAAATTTGTGTTTGCTAGAAATAAACGAATGTCTGAGCACAGTTGCAGCAGACGATAACCATTATCTGTTCGCTGTGCCGGAGTACCAAAATACCCACCTAAAAGTTTTTCTGTTTCGTTTAAGCTACCTACCTAGGCATTAAAGTCGCCTGCTACGAGTACTATGTCCGAACGTTTAGCTTTCTGAAGAAGTTCAGAGAGTTGTCTGTAAAATTCATCTTTAACTTCATCCGAGCTGCAGTCAGTGGGAGCGTAGGCAGAAACGACCGAAAGGAAACGACCTGTGTTTCTATCCTTCCGAGTTCATACGGAGCCGTTTAGCCGAACAGCATATAGGCGACTGTTAACCGGTATCTATCCTAATAGTACTTATTCTGCCCTCGTACTTAATGCTATGCCTACACCCGCAAGTCCACGAGAACTAGCCATCGAGTCGCCAGATACACAGTGGGTGCATCTCGTCGGCTCTCCATTTTGGCGAGGTGAGGTCAAGTGAATGGTCACACTAGGATCCTGTATGCGTGTTTCGGAGACAAAACATGCATCTATGCTACGAAATTCTAGGGTTTAAGCCAAGGAGACCTGCTAGCCGATTTGACACAGGATGCGTACGTTGAAGGCTCCAATGTGTAATTTGGAACGAGGTTTTAGTAAACCTGGGACAGTGTTTCGCGCATTAGAATCGTTGGCCATGGTGACACTTGAGGAGGAAGCCAAAAGAGGAAGTTTAGAGTTGAAAGTAGATGTAGGAGGAATAATAGGGATAGAAGAGGGAGATTGATTATGAAGAGTGATTTTCAGTGCTGTTAGAGGTATGAGAGCGGTTATCACTTCCTGGTTGCCCACAACGTAGAAAGGTTCTTCTAGAGGTACCTGAAAACGAAATTGGGTTAGATCTAGTTTTAGAGACCTGAGAGCTTGACCGAAGTGCCCAAGGGACAACTGCTTGAAGTCGGTCACACACAAAACCTTTCTGCGATTAATTTTCGTGTTAGCTCCGTACTTGTTGAGACCTTAACCACCGGAGACGGAAATCCATGGGATAACCCGAGGTGTACATTTTTAGGGTCGACCTTTTCTAACCCCCGGCCTATGCTCCATTGGGAGTAACAGGCGTAAGTAAGTAAGTTTTCTAACCCCACCCTTCCTTGTAGGAAGGCAACATCACTGTTATGCTGGTTGTCTGAAGGAAACAAATTACTACCGTCACAACTCTGTACAGTCAGCAGTACAACTTAGCCTTCAGATCTTAGGTTTGCTGCTTTTAGTCTTAGAGCTCTTCAACCGACCTGTCTGGCATAACGGGACCTTGAGTAACGATTGTTCCAGTCAGTATAGCTCGATTGGTTCGTCACGATAGGCAAGCCCGACCACCACGTCAAGGTAGCAACAACGGTCGGGTGAGTGGCTGTATTGTCGTCCAACGGTTTGTATGATATCTTGCTAGTTTAATTAATTAAATACACTTCTAATGTCGTAGTTGGAGCCTACGCTGAGATATAAAAAGGCCGTAATCATTTGAACTGGGTAGTTTTGTTCAGGTGTCGTGTTGAATGAAATTTAGAACAGAGATAGTAAAATTCTGTTAAAGCATTGAAAATATACCTCAATGTTCCTTGATCTGGACAGGCGAACCAAACCATTTGATTCCCCATATGAGGTCCATAGAGAATACCAAAAGCCAAAGGAATTTCTGTAGCTGTTAATGAGGTTGGGTTGCATGGAACACGGTGAGAAGGTTCTCCAAACGCTAGAAACGATACTACACGCTAAAGCGAAAAGTTAGACATTAATAAGAACGAACTCTAATCTCAATACTCCGTTTGGGTGAGGTGGAAGATGCATCATCAAACCACTGAAACCAACCACTATTTAACAGCTTACAGTACACATTGTGCCAATTTTTACGATCTGAAATAAAATAATGATTTAAACAATGCTCATACCGGACCACTTTTTCAGATAACCTTCCTTGATGGACATTGAGAATTTTTACGGATCAAATATTTAGGTTAGTGTTTTTCTCAAAAATAAAGGTTGGCGGTCAAAAGTTAAGTGTTTCAAGAGTTGATCAGTAAAGATAACAGAAAAAACTGAAAATTAAAATATGAGACAAATTAGCACGAGGAATTTTCTCTCTTTCAAGCAGAAATAGCAGAATGTTGGTGCAAATAGCGTTTGATATATTACCACTGAATTCGTGTGCGGGCTGTGACACTGCACTGGTGCCCAATCCGGATCAGTTGGTTTTCTTAGGCCACTCCCTGAGTTTTTGACCTAGAGGTCTAATTCACAGGGCAGTGGAGGAACGTTAGAAGATGCGGTCCCATGGTAGCCGGTGACCAACAATAGATTCATACGCCGTTTGTTCCTTCAGGATTCTGTAGCCCATGTGCAGTATTGATTTAGAATCAGGGTTTTTCAACTCCTCTTGGTGGATCCCACGTACCCACCAGGAGGTACCTTGAGTAAAATATTACTTCAACAAGATGGTAGGACAGAGTTATCCTTAGTATCAGCGAAACAAACCAGTAATTACATACAGGTTTGTGAACACAGTTTTGAATAAGGGTTTTAGATACTTTGCACATCGAATCGAGATATGTTGGACCTTAAATTATTTATTATTTCCTTTTCAGTGAATTAATATATGGAGCCAACACAACCTTGAAGGATGACTTCCACAACTTGCAGGTCCATTGTTAGAACGGCTACCACGAAACGTTGTGTTTTATGTTTAGTAAATAGAGTACTTATTCGTAAATGATGTCTTGAATTAGAAACTTAAATAATCCATTATGATGAATTATGATATTCCTTATTCTTTTATACCATACAGTCTGCAGTTAGAGTTATCAGGAAAAAAGGGATTAAATTTGTTCCTAAGTTTATGCTTATAGTTGCTTTTTAATGAAATTGATAAAGAAAAGACAACACAATAATGGGACATTTTATGTGAAATATTAATGGACCGATATAAAATAGTGGGTGGGTTAAACCACTAAAGTCTTGGAAGTCGAAGGACAGAATAGATAATAATAATTATTATTTATTATTTGAACACAAAAGATTGGTCTAAGGAGGTACCAAATACATATGCGCCACAAATCTCATTTGATTTGTGTGAGGGCTGTGATACTACCCAGGTGCTCAAACCGAAGCATAAACGCTCCTTTCTTATTTACTGTTTATACAGTAGTGTTGGAGACTTACAATCAAAAGTCCCATAACTGTAGTATACAAAAGCCAATGAGTACGGAAAGATACCAAGTACCCAGGAAATTTAGTTTACTGGAGATATATCCGGTATGAAACCGAACTTAAATGCTTTTTAGTTGTTCCATGATAATGAATCCCATAACACGAGTAGGGATTATTATGTACGTATTATCGTCCATTAACTCCACCTGTGGCTCTCCTAGAGTTACTGTGGATCCAAAGCCCGAGTAAAAGAGGGGTCAGCAACCCCATCTCATAGAAAATAACCTTGATAGAAAAACACTAACCAGAATAAACAATTTAAAACAGTTAAACCGTGCCCTCCGAGTTGAAGGAAGAATTATGACGCCTCATGATGAAACCAGAAATTCTTCGGAAATCACGAGGCCGATGTCCCTCCTAACAGCCAGAGCAACGATCAATATAGGTACATCAATATACGTCCGGACAATGCGGGAGACCGAGAGGACCAGTTAAATAACTGTGAATATGAGGAGATACAACTTGACAATACTCGGAATGAGCGAAACACATTGGACACAAGCTGAACAACAAAGGCTAGATATGAGAGAGATGCTGCTGCTGTACTCCGGTCACCAAGACGAAAATGTTCCACACACTCTGGGAGTTGCTCCGGTGCTGTCTAAACAAGCGAAAAATGCACTTATAGGATGGATCCGTAATTACCAAAGCATCTTTTAAAACAAAGAAGGAGGGAATCATAATGAATGTTATCCAGTGTTATGCACCCAACAATGATAGCAACGACGACAAGAAGGATGAGAGGCTGCAATCTATTTTAGCGAACTGTCCAAGAAAGGATCTCATCATCCTGATGGGAGATACCATTTGTTCCGTCAGGATCATGGAGCCCATGTGCATCATTGGTTTGGAATCACGATTTTTTAACTTCTCTATGTGGACTCTCCATATCCACCAGCCCGTTTAAAGCGCCGGACATTTGCTTCTCGTCCTATCAATTTCGTGAACAACACCCCCGTCGCCAGAAGGTAGTGAGTAGGACTTCCCTTATTTATTCATTATTTATTTCAGCACATAAATATTGATACAAGGGGACACCAAATATATGTGCGCCACACTTCCCTGGCAGTGGTTGTATACACGTGGCCAGGTGAAGGTACCTCGAGAGGGAGGAAGGATCAGTTCTATGAGAGGCTGAAATCTATTTTGGCGAAGTGTCGAGGAAAGGATTTCATCATCCTGATGGAAGACCTAAACGTCAAAGTCAGAATGGACGACACCGGATATGAAGATATCATGGGACAACATGGATTGGGAGAGAAAAACAAAAATGGGGAGGGATTCGCAAACCTATGCGCACTCAACAAACTGGTTATAGGCGGAACAATATTCCCACACAAACGCATACACAAAGCTACGCGGGTCTCACCGGATCATACCACGAAGAATCAGAGATCATATTTGTGTCAATAAAAAATTCGGTAGGTCAATGGAAGACGTGAGAACCACGAAAGGAGGAGACGTAGCTTCAGATCACCACCTGGTTGTGACCAAGATGAAACTGAGAATGAAAAACACTGGACAACTGGATAAACAACATAACAAAGGTTCAATACAGCCTTCCATCGACATGCTGACAAACTCAACCAATCTAAGATAACTTTCAATAACAGGTTCCAAGCCTTACAAGATCTACTCGAAGAGAAAACTACTATGGAGAACAATTGGAAAGAGATCAAAAAAGCAACTGCAAACTTGCTCCACGTTCTATTCAGGAAGATTTTGGAGAAAGGACAAGTGCCAAAGACAGACTGGAAAGACGGAAACCTCATCAAGATACCAAAAGGAGATCTGAGCAAATGTGAGGACTGAGCTGCAGAGGCGGCATACTACTGTCAGTACCAGGAAAATTATTCAACAGAGTGTTGCTGAACCGGATGACACTTAGTAGACGCCCAACTTCGAGATCAACGAGCTGGATTCCGAAAGGAACGGTCGTGCACAGACCAAATCGTGACACTACGGATCACCGTCGAACAATCAGTCTAGTGGGATTCGTCACTATACATCAGCTTGATTGACCATGAGGAGTTTGACAGTGTGGATAGGAAAACAATATGGAAACTTGTTCGACACTATAGAGTGAGCAACTGAGAAGGTCGTCAACATCATCCGTAATTCATACGACGGACTACAGTGCAATTGTTGCTTCAGCGAAAAATCACGGGGAATTTATGAATACAATGAAAAAATGTGTTGAAAGTCAAATAACTAATTTAATATGAAGTCACTGAAATCATGGATCCAAACTCATACTATTAATCGCCCCACTCTAATGCATAAATTTAAAGACTGCTGTTTCCCGAATACATATTTGAGGATTTAGCATAACCAACATGATTCAAGATTTCAGCCTGTATGATTACTGAGAGCCTAAAGGACAATTTGTTACTTCTGGTTACGCCTTTAGTGACCAGGCAATAGAAGCACCGAATCTAGCCGCTTCGAATTAAGATGAATCTAGAACGACGGTCGTATTCAACTCAGTATCTTTGATTTCAAGATCAGGTTAATTTAATATTGAAACTACCATATAAGTGAATACAAAAAATGGGACATGATCAGTGGGAAACCGTGATCAAGTGGATGATCTCAGATACATACACACATGATGAAATTTGATTATTCACCTTGAGGTAACCAAGAGTGACTTGCAACTAGTCAAACTGAGAAGTTCAAGACACTTCTAAAGATACAGAAAACTAACACTGAATGAAATTAAATCTAAGGTCTAGAATATCACAATTAAATTCTTTGACAATATTTGGTTGCCAATATATATTTTGACAATTAGAGTACGACATTATTTGTGTAAAGCTGAACTATCCACAAGGTAGAGTGTACTGAGAAACTGACTAGAACGAACGCCAAAATGTTCACACACATTTTTTAAACTAAACCTAAAACAGTTACTCGTTTTGAATAAGTAGACCTGATTTTACGTTACTAAATCCTCAGATAGACTTTAAGTCGATCTTTGAATAAAATACAGCGACTGTACAATATAGTAGTTGAGGGTCAATCGGGCAATAGCTTGATTGAGAAGAATTTGATGTTGACACGCTACAGTAACTTCATTGTTTCGGGCGAACTATGGCGAGCTTTTAGTGAAATAGTGTGACAGGTCCTGTGCAAATATTGTCAAGACAAGTACATAATTATAATTACTCAATCTCCCGATTTTGGGGAAGCTGTACTAGAAAATCCCGAAAAAATGTGACAAAACGTGGGAATTTCCTCTAGTCTGTCTTTTCCCTCAGAAATTCAACAGAATTTACCTAAGATCTGGAGATTGTGTGTTTATGATATTTGGATAGAATAACCGGGCATTTCAATGTACTCTTATAAGAGTACATAGAAATGCCTAACTCAACAAATGTTGTAACAGGTTAAAGAAAATGGGTAGAAAAAAGATTCATTTTATTGAAGTCGAAACCGATGGAAAACATTATCATCCTACCTAGTTGTACAGATCTAGCAACCGATTTAAGGCAACGATCCAGCGACATTGACGAAGGTTACTGAACTCTTGAAGGTCAAGCCGTCGTAAAACGATGGATGCATAACCTCAAAAACTTGTTTTTCTTCAAGCAGTCGAATCAAGATAATCTTAAACTTTATCTCAGTTTAGACGCACTATGTCTGACGAAGGTGATGCTATTGTAATGATGATGATTCCTGCGCGCTATTTTAAAAGGACAATGATATATTCAGTCTTCAGTCTTCAGTAATAAGGATAGGAGGTCTATCGACCTGTATTAATCCTTGCAGTTTGTAATACTGTGGAGGTCCAATCTCGTCTTGAATATATCAACAGAAGGTGCTGATATTACGTGTTCCGGTAGAGAATTCCAATAATTCACTACTCGATGAGAGAAACGAAACTCCAGACGTAAACGATTTGATCTCGGTTTTTGAATTTTTTTTGAGTGTCCTCTCAAACGATCAGTCCTAGACGGAAGTAAAAGATAAGACATGTTAATACCAAGGTCATCGTTCAGTATACGATAAGCCAATATTAGATCACCCCGAATTCGACGGTAAGATAAAGGAAATAGGTTGAGGTGTCTCAATCTGTCTTCATAAGATAGTCCAGATAGACCTTGTACCATCTTAGTACCTCGTCGTTGGACTCGCTCTAGCATATCTGCTTCGTACTTGAAACAAGGACTTGCTGCTTGAATTCCATATTCTAAATGTGGTCTCACATAAATCGGGTATAATAGTCTAAACATTTCGTCATCTAAATACTGAAAAGACCTACGAATAGACCATAATATTCTATAGCCTTTTGCAGCAGCAGCCTTACAGTGACTAGTGGTTTTGAGATCACTACTTAATATGACTCCCAAATCTTTGTAGTTTCTTACTTTGGGTAGTACGAATCCACGTATTTTATAGTGATACGATTCATCATTGTCATTTAATTGCATCACCACGCTCTTATTTGGATTAACTTCAAGTGACCACCTATCTAACCATGCCACCAATGAGCTAAGATCATTCTGTAATACTATTCTATCTGACATACTGTGTATGGGTCTCCAAATTTTTATGTCATCAGCGAATAGTAGAATGGATGATTTTGCTACAGTTGGTAATTCATTTACATAAAGTAAAAAGAGAAGAGGACCGAGGATGGTACCTTGGGGAACTCCACTTTTCACAGGCACCCACGAGGAAAGAGTCCCATTTACCCTTACCCTTTGTCTCCTGTCATGGAGAAAGTTACTTATCCAATCTACGACTGTATAATGGATTCCGAAGAGTTCCAGTTTTAGTCTAAGACCAGAGTGAGAGACCTTATCGAAAGCCTTACTAAGGTCTATGAAGATCACATCTACAGGAATACTCTGATCTTTTGCAGCAGCCCAATCTTCTCTTGCGATGAGAAGATTTGTCAAGCACGATAGGCCTCTCCGAAAACCATGTTGTTCTCTGGAGAAAAGATTATGCCTTTCAACATAGTTTATAACAGATATCCGAATGATTTTTTCCATCAGTTTTACAACTGCACTCGTTAAGCTGACGGGTCTATAGTTACTAACTAAGTCCCTACTCCCAGCCTTGTACACCGGACTTATTATAGCGTCTTTCCAGTCTCTGGGCAGTTTGGACTGCTTCAGAGACATGTCAAACAGTATCGCCAATGGTTCAGCAATTACGTCTGATATGGCTTTCATAATCCTAGGATGAATATTATCAGGACCACTAGACTTATCAGGTTTGATATGCTGAAGTAGCCTTAAAACAGTACCTTTCTCAATGACCACAGGATCCATCAGCGAGCCGTTACGGTCATAATGAATCGTTGGTCGTTCCTCATTAGTGATAGAAAACACTTTACTGAAATATTTCGATAAAGCTTCAGCTTTTTCTGTATCATTCTCTGCCAAGATTAACGGATTTTCTTGTATCAAAAGTGATGGAATTCCATCACTTCTCTGAGTTCGTCTTTTTATATACGAGAATAACCGTTTCGAACTATATTTAGAATCCCTAACCAATTGCTTTTCGTATGATCGTCTAGTCTTACTTATTAAAGCTTTACAGGCATTCCTAGTCTTACAATAACTGGATCGGTATTGTTCTAAGCCCGTAGAGATGAACATATTCCAGTGCTTCTTCCTTCTTCTAAGAAGTTTCTTAACTGGTTTGGTTATCCATGGTGGACTATTATTCGGTCTTCGCGGTATCAGGTATGGTATGAACGAGGACGTAACTAAACTAAACTTACCTTTGAATACAGACCATGCTTCTTCAACTGATAAGCTAGTATCTACAAACCAATCTGTCTTAGCAGCGCATTCCTGAATGGCTGATATGTTAGCTTTCCATATATTTGGGCGGGGTGTGACCTGATCGTATAACATGTCCCTAGTTCTAAACGAGAAGGACAAAACAGCGTGATCACTGTTCGCTAACGGTGGGAGAACATTTAGGTCGACAATATCTTCAGTATCATGAGTGATTACCAAGTCCAACAGAGAAGAACCTTGGTTAGCACCAAAACGTGTAGGTTTGGATACATGCTGCACTAATGCATGCTCCATTATTGTTATCAGGAACCTATTTTCAAAGGAGTTTATAGATCCTTCTGTGGTCATTTCAGCCCAACTAATGTTAGGTGCATTAAAGTCTCCTATTATCAAGCACCTGGTATTGGTACTCCAAAGATGAATGTGCTCTAGAATAAAGTCATCGGCTAAACAGATTGGGCTGCGATAGATGACACCGAGCATCACGAATACTGTCTTAACTTTAATTGGATTCATTTTGGTTAAAGTGACAGCAAGATTATCTGTTTTCCAAAAGTACCTTTCCCTGCGGTGGACAGATGGACAAGCAACCTTGGTCGTAAGGGGAAGGTGGATATCATTTACCTTGATTTCTCTAAAGATTTTGATAGGGTTAATCACATATGTCAATCGGGTATCAAACCATCTTTGATCGACTGGCTCATTTCATATCTGACAAATCTACATTTTAAGGTCAGGGTCAACTTCAATTTATCACACGCTATGGAATGTCATAGTGGGGTCCCCCAGGGCTCAGTACTAGGACTCCTCCTCTTCCTGATTTATATAAATGATCTTCCTCAACAGGTAACGTCAGACTTATTACCATTTGACGATGAAGTGAAACTTTGGAGAGAGATATGCAACTGAGATTATATACAGGCAATTCAGGAGGATCTGACGCGACTTCAAAGTTTGGCAGACGAGAACGGACTTACCTTTAACACTTCAAAGTGTAAGGTAGTCCATCTGCGACACGTTGCAGACTAGAGTTACGACTTAGGAAACTCCTCTCTAGTAATATCCCGAGTCGAAAAAGATTTAATAGTTCTGGTGCCCTACGACTTAAAGTCTTACGCCAACTGTGACAGAAAGGCCTTTCGAGCAAACCTTGCACAAGTAACATTGAAACGCATTTTTGGTCACTTTGATGGGAGAACTTTCCACATAATCTTCAACAGTTTTATTCGTCCCCATTTAGAGTACGGAAACATAGTATTCCCTTCTACACTCCAAAAGGATAAGGACACTCTGGAGCATATCCAACGGCGAGCCACGAAATCAGTTCGAGGACTCAAGTTTAAACCTTCTGAGGAGCGCTTCCAATCACTTGACCTTTACCCATTAGAGTATAGGTGACCTTCTAATGGCTTACAGTATCCTTAACACTTCTGGACATCCTCTTAAACACCTACTTAAGCTTAGTCCCAACACTAACCTAAGGGGTAACACCCAGAAATTGGAGATAAAACATAGCAGAACGGACTGCGGACACAAAATCTGCTCCTTAATAGTTGTCAAATGCTGGAATTCGCTGCCAGCTGAGCTAGTCCAAGCAACTTCAAGAGGCTGCCTGACCTATTTTTTCTTCTATTTTATCGTTAATATACCTAGGTTCTTGCCTGGAGGTATTGGTGATCCCTTGCTGCTAGACACGGAAGCCTGTTAAGCGAAAGCTTCTTCTATTCCTTCCACAACCATTTGAACCATTTGAACCATCTGTATTGCTCGAGTACATTGTTTCTTGTTGTATTTGTTTACGCTTTCGAATCTAACAGTTTTCACTTTTTTACTTTTTCACTTTTTTTATTGCCATTTTCTTATCTCTATTTACCGTTTTTGTCTAGTTTCTCTTTTGAAGACCTCTGGATGATTACTTGAGATATCAAAAATACAACTGCCAAATCCCGAGTTGTCGGTACTCCGTGGAAAGTGGCATGCAGTGGAAAGGATGCTACCACGAAGATTGCACAGAGCAAAGGCATGAGACTTTCAATCGGTTTGGCAAAAATATCCGCTTATGCTTGTGTCATTAATCCCACCCAGAAGTTAACACTAGACTGAAGAAATCTGAGGGCTGAGTTGTCGGAGAATTCTCCCAGATAGAACATAGTTGACACGATTACTTCATGTGCTTCAGTACAACATGTGAAAGAAGTCACTTGGTATGATCCAGGATAGTTGAAATCAGATACATATGATTTCAGATTGACCTGAAGATTATAATTCTCACTGGAAGATGGCTATCGCGAACGACATCATGATTGGTGAAGTTGTAGTAAGTCCACTCCACTAATGTACTTTTTGTCTACTCACTGTAATTTAAACACTTAATTCACTGTGCGAATTTCTATGTGAGTATGATTAAGCGCGTGTCTGCACGTCAACCCTTAACCTATTGTCCCATTGGTTGTATTACGCAGACAATCAATAACTTATCCACACTTGACTAACACTCATAAATATATATGGATTTTTAACACTCACGCATACACACACTCTCTTGGTTCCACTGTGTGCTTGCGGATTTTATGAATCTTTAACATAAAATATCTCTAGAACTGGTGTTCAGGCTTCTAAATAATCTCGCGTAAATCCATAACTCTACTAAAAGATTTAGCCAGTGTTAAATGTTCAGTTAACGGGACATCATTTATTGGAGTTAGATGTAGAAGAAAATTGCCTCTACAAAGTGAGCTCGCAAGATATGGCAGCTATCGACACGATGGGGTACACGAAACACGAAATTGAGTGACAATGTGAATTAACAACTGCTTCATAAGACGTTGTAGTGGCACAGGGCCCTACCACGAGACAATATGGGAAATAGACATTCAACACTTAACGCGGAGAAATAGCTAAGAATGAAGAAGGTAGGGAAAATGAATTGAATTAGTTCGATAAA